TGACTGAGAGCCTCAGCAACCAGCTGGGGTGTGTAACTCAGTCACCCGTAAGGTTGGCCTCCCACATATTCCCCCTTTCTTAATATAAAAAAAAAAGAATGTAACTGGAAAATTTTCTTTTATTCACTTGGGTCTTGGTCCAAGGTCATCACAATCTGCTATTGAAACACAAAAAGAATTAGTAGAAAACATATTATCTTCATAACAGTCAACACAATAATCTGGATTATTATTACCTTGCCAAACACTCATCAGAAGATTTTTAATCTTTTCCCAATTTTATTGGGATGCGTTGTTTTTGGCCATAGTAACAGACATTTTTCATTGCCATGGCATTTAGGCCTCTCCATAAACCATAGAGCAAAGGCCTCACTCACATTATTCATTACATTGTCTTCTAGAACATCATTACTTAGTTCTCATCCTTCCATCAGCACTTATCTGACCACGAAGGAAGTTGGATGTAATTTAAGTTAAACATTGAGAAAATCCATACATTGTAAGTTTTAAGACATAGCCACAAAGGCTGAAATTGAATAAGCAAGGAATACTATTTAAAGTAGTCCCGTCTTTCCTGGCTTCCAGTCCGGCTGGGCTGTACCTTACCCTCTCCCCTCCGAGCCACGAGAGCCCCGCACTCTCTTGGTCTACTCCAAGCTTTCGCAGCGCTTCCCTTGCGCCTGCGTGAATCCGCCCGCCCCACGTGCGGACTCGCGCTCTGGTTCTGGCCCGGCCTCCAGCCCGCGGCACCCGGCGCTTTCCTTCTCGGTACGGCCGGCAGCGTGCGGCGCCAGCACCATGCTCTTCTACTCCTTTGTCAAGTCCCTTGTGGGCAAGGATGTGGTCGTGGAACTCAAGAATGATCTGAGCATCTGTGGAACCCTCCATTCTGTGGATCAGTATCTCAACATCAAACTAACTGACATCAGTGTTACAGACCCTGAGAAATATCCTCACATGTTATCAGTGAAGAACTGCTTCATCCGGGGCTCAGTGGTCTGTTATGTGCAGTTGCCAGCAGACGAAGTGGATACACAGTTGCTACAGGATGCAGCAAGGAAGGAAGCCCTGCAGCAGAAGCAGTGATTGCCACTGTTCCTTTTCCTCTGCCTTTTCTATTGGTTACCCCATAACCTTATGTCTCCCCAATACTTGAGGTGTTTTTTTTTTTAAGTGATGACTTTTTTTTTCCTAAAGGGATTTAGATGATGAGAGGAATAATAGCAAAGAGCAGCTATCCTCTGTTGAGAAGGGAAAGATTAATAGGTTGGGGAACTGCAAAGCCTTTCCTAAAAGAAGGAAGGAAAAAGAATACATCACTTGGAGAATGAACAATAGGTTACTGAATGATCAATGGGTTATAGAAGACATCAAGGAGGAAATTAAAAAATTCTTAGAGATTAATGAAAACACAGACAAAACATATCGGAATCTATGGGACACATTGAAAGCAGTTCTAAGAGGAAAATTCATTGCTTTGAGTTCATTCCTTTAAAAAAGAAAAAACCAACAAATAAATGATCTCATACTTCATCTCAAAATCCTAGAAAAAGAAGAGCAAAACAACAGCAAAATAAGTAGAAGGCAAGAAATAATTAAAATCAGAGCTGAAATTAATGAAATCGAAACAAAAGAAACAATTGAAAAAATTGACAAAACTAAAAGTTGGTTCTTTGAAAAAATAAACAAAATCGACAGACCCTTAGCCATGCTAGCGAAGAGAAGAAGAGAGAGAACTCAAAT